GGCCACATGACCACGGAAACGTCTTCGGACAGCGCTGGCTCTTCGGCTCTGAAACGGAGATGAGCACCGCGACCCTAGCGTCGGACTCGACTGGCTTTCGAGCAAGGGAGACCTTTACTTTTTTATCGATGACTGAATGATTTGATATTGGAAATTTTAATTGTATACTTATAAACTGATGTTACCCACTCTGAGACAGTCTTTGGGAGAGCGGTCTATAAATTAAATCATCATTATCATCATCACCTCCTACCTCTCGGGACGCCAGCCTCCAGGTGGTGCCTGGGGGTCCACTGGAATTACAGCTCACCTCCAGATTACAGAGATCAGTTCTGGCAAAAAAATGGATGCTTTGGAGGGTGGACTCTGTGGCATTCTATCCCACTGCAGTACTTGTCCTCCCTAGACTCCACACCCCATCCCCCTCTGGTGGCCGGGGAGGACCTGGCAACCCTACCTACTTCTTGGTCTGTTTAACTGGAGATGCCAGGGATTGAACCACATATGGTGGAAGTGTGATAAAATTCAAAAATTTTGGGGGAAAATTGCTAAAATCCTCCTAGACGTTGCAAAAATAAATATACCCCTAGAGCCAGAAATTTGGCTACTTAATATGTTACTGGAAGATAAATCACATACACGTATAATTGTATATATTTTAACGGCAGCCAGAATTCTGATAGCAAGACGTTGGAAATCTAAAAGAATACCATCTATAGGAGAACTCAAAAATATGCTGATGGGAATAGCTGAAATGGACAGGTTAAATACAACACTACAAAATAAACCAGAGGAACTTTTTTGGGACAGATGGAAATTATTTTATGACTGGCTGAAGATGAAAAAGATAAATTAAAACTGAATTGTGCTAGTACGATATAAAAGTTGTAAAATGTGGAAGACGTAATGGATATTATAAGTTGTAACTGAGTGTGAAAGAGATGTGATGTTTAATTCTGTTATAGTGGAAAATGAAAATAAATTTTCAAAAAAAAAAAAAAAAGAACCTGGGACTTTTTGCACCCCAAGTGGATGCTGTAACCACTGAGCCACACCCCCTCCTCTGTGATTGCCGTGTGTGTTTTAACTTGTTTTAATGGGTTTTTTAAAATTGTTTGCCCCCCAGGGAACCTAACTATTTATTTATTCATTTTGTTGGAATTGTATCCCGCCTTCCCCGCATAGCAGGCTCCAGGCGGGCTCCATCAATTGCCACATACAAAAACTTAAAAAACACTTAAAATGCGACAATAAAATACGACTCCATTCCTGTGTGCAAATCAGTGCCCCCAGCAGATGGAAAGGCGGTCTGAAAATGTTTTCAATAAAATACCCATTCCCCTACTGAAGGTCCATTAAATAGATGAAGAGAACTTTCTTACGCGTTCTGCAGTTTCTCTACCAGGCCAGCCCTTTGTAAAGCACACACACACACACACACACTGCCTTGTGTGGCATTTCACTTTCAGGAGGCAAATCTTGGCATTTGCAAAAGTGCACCAGCCCGTCTCTTCCAGCCTGCGCCGGGCTCCTGGGAGCCTTTGCCGTTGCTCACTCCATATGTTCAAAATTGAGTTAAGTGTCTTCAGCTCATCCGCTTGGCTTTGGAGGTATTAGCGCTGGAAATATAATACACTTGACGTTCTTCGTATTTATTTTCCGGTCCCTGAACCTTTTGGGTCCCATCGTGCAGCCGCATACATATAAATATAGAATCTGATCTGAACCCATTCCCACCCGGCTTCTGGCCATCCCCCGAGAGGACCGTGAAGTGAGATGGTTCCAGAACTCCTTTCCTGCTTAACATTTGCTTGTGGAACTCACTTTCCGCATGAAAGGACTCTTTATTTATTTACTTTGTTTATATCCCATCTTTCTCCCCACTGGGGTCCCAAAGCAGATTACGTTTAGGGTTGCTGCCCGCCTCCTGTGATCGTTCATCGCTTTGCCTGGGAGGAAGTCCCCACCCTGAGACATCCAGGGTTTACGAATGGGGTTGGCAGCCTCCAGCCCACTTTCACAACTGATCTCCAGCTGACAGAGATCAGCTCCCCCAGAGAAAATGGCTGCTTTGGAGGGCGGGCTCTATGGCTTTGTACCATGCTGAGGCCCCTCCCCAGGCCCCGCCCTCTCCCGGCTCCACCCCCAACCCAGACCTGGCAACCTTATTTACAAAGCAAAGGGAGAATCCCAGGCACTGACTAATTAAGCAGCAGTGGGAGCCTGCCCAGTGGATGGCCAGCGATCATCGGGTTCAAAGGACAAGCTGGAGGCTTAGCGTGGACAGAATTTTAACATATGCCCAGAATCAGGCAATAAGCTTTCCCATGGGATCACTTCCTTCTCATTTGATTGCGAGAATTAACTATTTTAGATTGTAAGGTTACTTTTATCTGCTGGTATTTTGCTTTGAGCAGTTGCCAGTTGACCTGACAGCTATTCTGGCAGAGCCAAACAGCCACAAACTAGATGGCAGGGGATCGTGCACCCTCAGCTCTTAGAAACATAGAGCTGGCAAGGACCCCAAAGGCCACCTAGTTCAGCCCCTGCACAATGCAGGATAGTCACACATCTCCCCTCCCCCATTCCTCCGGTGACCTCAACTCTATGCCCAGAGGAAGGCAAAAAGCCTCTAGGGTCCCTGGGCCAATCTGGCCTGCAGGGAAATCCCTTCCTGATCCCAAAGCAATGTTCCCTCTAAGCTGTGGAGCCTTGTGAGCAAAAATTCCGCTTTGTGAGCTCCTGGCATTAAAGTTGTGAGCGAGCGATTTGGCTGTTTGCTCTGGAGCCCTCCTCCCTGAGCTGAGACAAAAAGGTGTGAGCCGGAGGCTAAAAAACTGTGAGCTAGCTCACACTAACTCAGCTTAGAGGGAACACTGTCCCAAAGTGGTGATCAGCGTTACCAGGGGCACATTAGAAAAGGTCGCAAGAGCTGAGCCCTGGCATATCCCTTTCTGCCCTCCCGCTCACGATCTGCCTTGTTTCCTGCCAACATGCCCGCAGCGGTGGTATGACATCCCTTCTGGGGATAACCATAGAATTTCCAGCAATTCCTAGAGAGGCGTGACATCACGTCCAGGTTTTCCTTGGACATGATGTCACCCTGACACATATATCCTCCAACTTCCTTTTGTGGTAACCCTACCGCAAACCCTGCTTGGAAAGCGAGGCTGCCAGCTGCACAATATCGGGGTGGAAACCTTCCAGCACAGGGCACTCCCACGGTCCTTTTGAATGATTAATTAGCCATTCCATATTACCTTGAAAAGGAGGCAGAGATGGGTCTTCGTTTCTGTGTTGGATATAACTTTGGGCATGCTGCTAGCCCCAAATAAAACATCAAGTAGGGTTGCCAACCCCCCCGGTTTGCCAGGGGTTCCCCCGTTTTGGGGGGGTTCTACCCGCCGCCGGCCAGATGGCCAGCGGGGGAAGCCCCACCCCCAACACCCACAGCCACCTCTCTCTCTCCCTTTAAGTATGTGGAACCCATGTTTCCTCCCAACCCTGATCTCCGCTTGAGATCACGCTTGCAGGGAAATGCCAGCTTCGTGCACTTAAAAGGGAAACCGGCTGCTCTTAAAGGGGAAACGCCGGCTCCTTTAAGTGCAGGAAACTGCCGTTTCTGGAGATCTGGCACGCGGGCGGGTGGAGGGGGGGCGGCGGACGTCCCCAACGTGACGTCATCACGTCGGGGAGGCCCCTCCCCCTCCAGGAAAGCCTCCAAAGTCCCCCGCTGTGGGTGGAAGATGGACTTGGCAACCCTAGCATCAAGTGATGACATAAATCTTAAAAAGCTCAATGATAGCTCACAAAATGTCTAATAGCTTGCTTGTCTGCATAAATTTATTTGTGGGTAAATGTTTTTTGGTGTTTTTTTTTAACTGTGAAATTTGTCCTGGGCCCACACTTCCTACTGGGAGCAATATGAGGAACAGCGGTGGCGGCGTTTACACATCTCACAGAATGAGTTGATCCTGTAGACTGTTGCAGGAAGATTGCATTCTGTGTGCTCCTTAATATTAAAAAAAAAAAAAATCCCAACTTCCTGCCAGAAGAAATTTAGGATATCTGAAAGCAGATTTTAGCTCCGCTGTCTCACTGCTATACTAATTAACGGCTTATATTAACTAGTTACTGCTATTCTAGTTACAGATATATATGTATTAAATGTGGAGGCAGGGCTCTTTTTGTAGAAAAAGCCCAGCAGGAACTCATTAGCATAATAGGCCACACCCAACAGCAGGAACTCGTTAGCATATTAGGCCACACCCCTGACAACACAGCTCATTAGCATATTAGGCCGCACCCCCATGTTACCAGAAGTGTGGTTATCCAGCCACACCCACCTTTTGCTTGTTATTCTGTTTACCTTGTTTGTGGTCCAAAACCAGGGCTTTTTTTGTAGCAGGAACTCCTTTGCATGTTAGGCCACACACCCCTAATGTAGCCAATCCTAATGAATTTCTGCTGTTGGGTACAGCCTATTATGCTAATGAGTTCCTGCTGGGCGTGGCCAACTTGGGAGCCAGCCGGAACTCCGTTCCTATGAGTTCCTGCCCAAAAATAGCCCTGTGAGGAGTGTTAACCCCCCTCCCCATGGGCTGAAGTGGTATAGTCCTTTCCTCCCACTTTATTCTGCTACATTACAGGGGACTCGTAGAATGATTTGGCTTCTGATCCAGATACAATATAGGGTAGATCGTGCACCCTTTCTGTGTAATTTCCTGACTCACTCCAGCCCTGAGAGCTTTAAATCAAAGCTGGGTATCATTCCACAATGAACGCCGCGGTAATGAAGCCTAATTTCTGTATTTCCTTCAATGTGCCTCATCACGATAACCGTTCTAGCTTTTCATAATGTCAGCCATACTTCGTATCCCAGCCTTCCGATTATCACCTTGTTGGGAGTCGTATATTATTCAGCATGTAATGAGTTTCACAATCAGCCCAATGAACTGATAATATAATCTTTTTTTCCCCTTTTTTCGTTTTCTTTAAAGGACAAAAAGAATTATTCCTGCCCCGTGTGCGAGAAATCGTTTTCCGAAGACCGACTTATAAAGTCACACATAAAGACAAACCACCCGGGTAAGATAAGATTCACAGTCATTCTTTTAATGTGATATAATAGAGGAGGAGTGGGGCCAGGTTAAGTAGCAGACTGTGGCTGCAGTACGTATACTACTAACATGGATCGCAGAAAACCAGTTAGAAACTGGGGTGGGCAGCTTGTTTACTGCTCTGCCCCCATGAACAGCTCCCATGCGTGGGAGAAGCCAAGGGGGCAAACCTTTTTTTTGTTGCCAAGATGAAATGAGAGAAAAAATTCACTGTAACCCTATGCAGAGTTACTCCAGTCTACATCCTCTGCATTTACACTGGAGTAGCCTTGACTTGAGGAGCTGCGGTGGCTCAAGTGGTTAAGACGCTGAACTGCAGGCTGTGGAAGGTCAGTAGTTCAGCAGTTCGAGACCCAGGTGCTGCATGACAGAGTGAGCTCCCGTCCCTAGTTCCAGCTCCTGTCAACCTAGCAGTTCGAAAGCAAGAAATTGCAAGTAGATAAATAGGGACCACTTCGGTGGGAAGGTAACAGCGTTCCGTGTGCTTTGGTGTTTAGTCATGCCGGCCACATGACCACGGAAACGTCTTCGGACAGCGCTGGCTCTTAGACTTTGAAACGGAGATGAGCACCGCGACCCTAGAGTCGGATTCGACTGGCTTTCGAGCAAGGGAACCTTTACCTTTAGCCTTGACTTGAATGCCCCAAGCTATCCTGATATTGTCAAATTTCGGAAGCTACGCAGCGTTGGCCCTGGTTAGTACTTGAGCAGGAGACCATCGAGGAATTCCAGTGTCACTATGCAGAGGCAGGCAATGGCAAACCACCTTTAAACATCTCTTGCCCTGAAAACCCAACAGGGTCGCCTTAAGGTCGCTATGTCTTGAGGGCACCACCATTTTGCCGTAACCTGGTTGGCCTAGGCAAGCCCGATCTCGTCAGATCTCAGAAGCTAAGCAGGGTCGGCCCTGGTTAGTACTTGGATGGGAGGCCACCAAGGAAGTCCTGTGGCTGCTGAGCAAAGGCAGTGGCCGTCAACCACCTCTAAGATAAGAATCTAAAACGTGGTCTTGTTCAAGGGATCAGCTGCAGTAGGTAATAAAGTCCTTTTCGGTAATGTAACGGAGAACAGACTGAAATGTTTAGACTTTGATTATGTGGGAGACAGCCAGAAGGTCCTACAGCACGTATTGCGTATTGTCTGGGAATGGAAGTTAACCGTTTGAGAATTTGTTTGATTGTCTTCCACTTTGCGTTCTTCTGATGAAGATGCATTTCGAAACTGGACCATATACCAAGTGCCTGTCTTTCCTGTCCTTTTGATGGACGTACGGTGGATTTTTCATGGAGCTGCAGGTTTCTTTTGTGTTTTTTTTTTTTTGGGGGGGGAGGTTTGCTGTCAAGTCACAGCTGATTTATGGTGACCCTGTAGGGCTTTCAAGGAAAGAGAGGTTCAGAGGTGGCTTGCCTGTTGTGTGCCTTCACATCATGACCCTAGTATCCCTTGGTGGTCTCCCATCCAAATGCTAGCCAAGGCTGACCCTGCTTAGATGTTGAGAATTCATGAGATTGGGCTAGTCTGGGCTATCCAGGTCAGGGCAGAGGTGCCGCTAACGCATCTTAATTAGCCAGTTTGAGAGCCAGTTTGGTGTAGTGGTTAAGTGTGCGGACTCTAATGTGGGAGAACCGGGTTTGATTCTCCACTCCTCCACTTGCAGCTGCTGGATGACCTTGGGCAAGCCATAGTTCTGCCACAGCTGTTCTTGGAAAAGGGCAGTTTATATCAGAGCTCTCTCAGCCCCACCTACCTACCTCACAGGGTGTCTGTTGTGGGGAGGGGGAGGGAAAGGAGTTTGTAAGCCGCTCTGAGACTCCCTTGGATAGTGAAGGGCGGGGTATGAATCCAGACTCCTCCTCCTCCTCTTCTTCGTATTCATATGCACTTCTCAAGAGAATCTGTTTTTTTGAATTTGTATTGAGCACATGTGAGTTTAATTCTTTCCCAATAATCATCCCCCCCCCTCATTTTGCAATATTGGATTATTATTTTTTGCATTGACTGTCATTAGGGTTGCCAAGCTGGGTGTTGCGCCGCAGCGGGAGCCTCCCGTCTGGCGTCTGGAGCACGTGCGAAGCGCGTGCGCGCCTCATGCACGTCACCCGGAAGTGACGTGACGACACCGGGCACGCTGGGGGCAGGGCCACGACCATCCGAGGGAAAACCATAGAGTTTTCCCTCGGATGACCGTGGACCCGCCCCCAGCATGCCCAGCGTGGTTGCGTCACTTCCGGGTGACACGCACGTCGGGGTGGGGCTCCCCCCGGGGCCCGATCCGCCAGCGGTGGGGAACCGGCCTCTGGGGCGGGGGTTTCCCCGCCCCCCGGGGGGGACTTGGCAAGCCTAACTGTCCTGTACATTACTGTTTTACAGTGAGTGCTATATAGTATTTTTCTCTGTTCTGCACACTGTGTTCCTTTTTGGTCTTGTTCAAGCTGTTAGCAGTTGTACCCAGCATCTGCCCAATCCAAAGGCTTCATACTGTCTGCTGGTCATAAGAGCAGTTGTCTCATCCCTTCTGCACCACTGACAGTCCACGCTTTTCCCATGAGGCCCCTCGTTCAGTCCCCAAAGGCCCTGGCAGTGATTTTTCTATGCTTTGGGCCATTATCCCTCATATAAAATCAATTTATCTCAAGTGTCTTTGATGTGATTACCCTGGGGTTTTTTAAGCTCGTGTTTTGAGATAGGGCTGTACAGCCCAATCACCTCATTATTTCCGGCGCTTACAGTGTCACATCTGGATTCAGAGGCCTTTTGCAGTTGTTAACAAGCTGTCTGCTTCGATGGTTCCAACTCCTCTGAAACTCCCGGGTGAAACCTTAAACAAATGTTACGCGCCTCTCGAAGAGTATTAAAACACATAAATATTTGGTTAGTAAAGCTCTACCCTGTTAACTATCGGCCACTTGAGAACGCCTCCCACCGGAAGACAGTTTCTGCACCGACGGAGGAACCAGACGCTAAATTGTGACTAAAATAGTAAGTCACTGTGGAGGTGCACAAAACAATGACCAGCTCCGGAAATACCATAAATTAACGTGGCTGTTTCCTTAGACAGCGAACCCCCATCGTCGAGAAGTGGCAGGAGAAGCGTGGCACGGCTAAGGAATAATGTGAATAAATAGATGTTACGTATTCTGGGCATGTGTTCCCCGAATGCTACAGCACTTTCTTTTAATGCATCTATTCTTTTCGTTTTTTTCTCCAGAGGTTTCGATGAACACCATCTCCGAGATTGTGGGCAGGAGGGTTCAGCTGAAAGGGCTGATCGGAAAGCGGGCGGTGAAGTGTCCCTATTGCAATTTTTATTTCATGAAGAACGGGTCAGACCTCCAGCGTCATATTTGGGCCCACGAAGGTAACTCCCTGGTTTTGAAAACCAGAGTCGTTTGCTGGTACATTCCAACTCCCTAAATAATGTACCCACTGATGTGCCATCACCTCTTTTTGTCAGAAAGCTAGCTCTGGGCTGAGGTCCCTCCTAGGTTTCTGCAGTGAGGGGGGTGCATTTCATCAGTTCCTCCCCCATGAAACAGCCTCAGATGCATCTTGAAATACTAGGCAGGGACCCCCAGGAATAGAGGAATAGCTTAGACGGAGAATTCTCTGTGGGATTCGGGGATTGGCGAAAATTTCCATGCCCACGAACATCCAGGTGGGATCCAAGCTCTGGCTTTTGGGGAGTAGGGGGGTCACCACATTCTGTGTAGGGAGCCTGCAGAGATTTTCTGCTTCTTCCGTGCTTGTGACATGCAATCTACTTAGTCTTCTAGTCTTAGGACTGGTTTTACACACCCACAAACTTGTCTGGATTTCTTGGCCCAATGACTTGCAGTTCAGTGCACAGACTGATTCGCTGGAGTGTTTTGAGATGTCAGCAAAAGGTGATTCTGGCAAGTATACGAGCTACCACTTAAAATTGCAGTCCGCCAGTGGGACCTTTCTACTAAGAAGAAGAGGAAGAGGAAGAAGAGGAGGAGGAGGAGGAGGAGGAGATTGGATTTATACTCCGCCCTTCACTACCCGAAGGAGTCTCAGAGCGGCTTACAAACTCCTTCCCCTCCCCACAACAGACACCCTGTGAGGTAGGTGGGGCTGAGAGAGCTCTGACAGAAACTGCTCTTTTTCAAGAACAGCTCTTATCAGAACTACGACTTGCCCAAGGTCATCCAGCCAGGTGCAAGTGGAGGAGTGGGGAATCAAACCCGGTTCTCCCAGATTCGAGTCCGCGCACTTAACCACTACACCAAACTGTCTCTCACACCAAACTGGCTCACACACCAGAGCAGGTGCAACGTGCTTTGTCCTGGAAGGAGTAATTGCACCCTTGCATGGTGAGCAGTTCTGCATTATCTTAAAATGCGTGTGCCTCATACCACTCACCACTTGAGACTCACAGTCTTCCCTGTAATAAATTTTCCTTAGATGAGATAGACTCCAAAGTAGCATGTTTTTTAGTTACAGCATTAACCCAATTGGTTTTAACATACTTGAGAGTTCATATGGTGTAGAGGTTAGAGTGTGGAATTAGGAGGCCCGGGTTTGAATCCCCACTCTGCCATGGGAGCTTGCTGGGTGTCCTTGGGCCAGTCACACGTGCTAGTCTAACCTACCTCACAGGGTAGTTGTGAGGATAAAATGGAGGACAGGAGAACAATATAAAGCCACTTTGGGTTCCCGTTCCTGAGAAAGGCCGGGTATAAATGAAGTAAGTAAATAAATATATTTGGCAAAGGCCACTGCTACTCTTGCATTAAAACTAGTTTAGCTAGCTTTGTAGCTAAGCAAGTCATTTGGAAATACAGCCTGTCCTATGTAAATTGCTGGTGCACCCACTAGTCTTTCACTTTACTTTCTGCTGCTAATGTCAATTTATGTTCATTCATGCCATCTGTAAACTAAGAAAATAAATAACAAGCAGGGTTTTTAAAAAATCTATTTTTTAATTTCCAGTGGTCAATCAGTGGCTATTAGCTATAAGGTATAGATGGAACAGGAGCTGCGGTGGCTCAAGTGGTTAAGATGCTGAACTGCAGGCTGTGGAAGGTCGGTAGTTCAGCAGTTCGAGACCCGGGTGCCCCATGACGGAGTGAGCTCCCATCTCTAGTTCCAGCTCCTGCCAACCTAGCCATTCGAAAGCAAGAAATTGCAAGTAGATAAATAGGTACCACTTCGGTGGGAAGGTAACAGCGTTCCGTGCGCCTTGGTGTTTAGTCATGCCGGCCACATGACCACGGAAACGTCTTCGGACAGCGCTGTCTCTTTGGCATTGAAACGGAGATGAGCACCGCAACCCTAGAGTCGGACTCGACTGGCTTTCGAGCAAGGGAACCTTTACCTTTACCTTTTACTGCTACTCTTGCGTTAAAACTAATTTAGCTAGCTTTGTAGCTAAGCAGGTCATTTGGAAATACAGCCTGTCCTCTGTAAATTGCTGGTGCACCCATTAGTCTCTTACTTTCCTTTCTGCTGCTAATGTCAATTTACGTTCATTCATGCCATCTGTAAACTGAGACAATAAATAACAAGCAGGGTTTAAAAAATAAATAAATTTATTTTTTTATTTCCAGTGGTCAATCAGTGGCTATTAGCTATAAGGTATAGATGGAACACTCTATCTGGGGGAGTGATGCTCTGTATTTTTGGTACTTGGGAAGGCACTAGTGGGAGGGTTTCTGGAGTTCTGGCTCCACTGGTGGACCTTCCGATGGCATCTGGGCTTTGGCCACTGTGTGACACAGCTAAGTTGGACGGGCCATTGGCTCGATCCAACATGGCTTCTCTTATGTTCTTAGCTTTAGCACTATAACAGCAGCAAATTGGCACATCAGCTTTTAGAAGCCTCCTGCTGTATCTTATTTTGGGAGTTCATGCAAAGTTTGTGTTAATCAGTTCCAGTCTTGAACCGGAGGCAGTCTGTTTTATGAGCTTCTGCCTCAGGAGAAAAGTCACGAGTTATTCCATAATTATTCTCCTGAACCCGTTTTGTTTATGAATGAGAAGCTCCTAGCCAGCCCCGTGAACGTTCTTCCCTGTGCACAGAAGGATAAGTGACATTATTACAGCCGCCTGAAGAAAGCCCGAGGCCTGCGATTCTGGATGCTCCCAAATCGCTAAAAATCCTCAGCACAAAACATTTTAAAATGCGGCTGTTTCCTAGTTGCACTTTTTAAAGATGTTAACCGAACCAAAACATCCGTGTCATGCAAACTCCACACCTGGAACCATCCCGATTCTTCAAGAAAATTGGCAGATCGAATTGGCACGGCCGACCCTGCTTCTGCAGCTTGGATTGTGAAAGAACTAAGAGGCTTTGGGGAGAGATCAAAGATTGGGGGGGGGAGTGGGGGGGAGTCAAGCAAATTGATCGCTTTAGGGATGGTAGGCAGTTCAAGCATTAGTGCCGAAGAAGAATAGAGAATTGAGCGGGAAACAGAAGATGCTTAGGGAACCTTTCATTTTGAGTTCTGAATACCATGAAGTACCTAGCCAAAAGCAAAATACGGTACGATTCCTAAGAGGGCTGCATCATTTCTAAGTCTCCTATTGCACGTGTGGATCCAGTCACATCGAGGTTCTTCAGAAATCACAAGGGCCTCTCAGTTTTATTGAGGGACTCTTCACAGCACTGGACCTTGAAGAAGCTTTGCTACCCAAGAACTACAGAAATATAAAACCTTGGCCTAATTTTACTGTTGCCCCTTATTTAGTTAACTTTACCTATGAACCCTGTAGATGGGCCTTTTCCAGAGCCCGTTTTGAGGCACTCCCTTCTGCTGTACTGCAAGCTAAATTCACTAAATTCACTAAATTCATCAATTGAAAGATTATGTATATGCCCATGCATGGCTAATATGGTGGAATCAATTTCTCATGTCCTCCTGTTCTTAGGGTTGCCAAGTGATTCTTCGCCAGGAGCGGGGGGCTCCCGGCCAGCGTCGGGTGTGCGCGCGTGCGTCACCCGGAAGTGACGCAGGCACGCTGGGGGCGGGGCCACGCCCATAAAAGGGAAAACCATAGGGTTTTCCCTTGTACGGCCGTGGCCCCGCCCCCAGCGTGCCCAGCATGCCTGCGTCACTTCCAGGTGACGTGCATGCCGGGGCGAAGTTCCCCCTGGGGCCCGATTCCGTGGTGGTGGAAATCGGGCCTCCGAAGCGGGGGTTTACCCGCCACCCACCCCCACTTGGCAGCCCTACCTGTTCTGCAGATTCTATCAGGAGGAACGAGACCATCTTATACTACCCCTTCTGTCTAGATTTAGCCCTCTGCAGTCTTATCTTGACTTTAGACCAGAAGTCCTTTGTAAATTCCTCCTAGAAGATGTTCAGAGCTCAGTGACTTATGCTGTGGCAAAATTTCTTGCTTAGCTATTAGAAAACGCCCCTCGGCAAGATCAACAAGGAAGCAGCTGGTCAGGTCTTCTTATTAATTGTCTCTACTGTTGAAATCAGCCTGCCAGGCTGCCTGGGAATGTTATTGTTTGCAAATGTGCTGATAACTATGAGTGTCAATCATGACTGATCTATGATTGTAACTAATAGAGATCGCTGGACCTGTACATACCGTAAGAGGCGTGTAAATGTCTTTTCCTGCCCGCCGTCCCCATTTCAGCATGGCTTCACAATCAGGACTGTGATGTATGAAGCAGTCCGAGGAACTCTCCCGTTCCCGGTAGCAGCCACCACCACTTCCTTTGGGAAGGAACTGTGGCTGAGTGGGTAGGGCAGGTGTTCCCAGTCTTTTTGAGCCAGCAGGCACCTTTGGAATTCTGACACAGCGTGGTAGGCGCAGCCACAAAATGGCTTCCACAGGAGGCGGAGCCAGCCACAAAATGGCTTCCACGGGAGGCAGAGCCAGCCACAAAATGGCTTCCACAGGAGGCGGAGCTAGCCACAAAATGGCCGCCGCCGCTTGCCTTCAGTCACACAGTGCAACACATTTAAAAAATCTGGAGAGCCAATCAATGCTCAGTCAGAAGCCGTGCTGGGCAAAAGATCCATCTGGCCCCACCCACTTCCCACAACTACGTGGCAGGCATCAGAAAAGATGTCGGCGGGCGCCATGGCACCCACAGGCACCATACTGGGGACACCTCGGGCACAGCACCTGCTTGGCCCGCATAAGGTCCCAGATTCAACCCCCAGCATCTCCTGCTAAAAGAATCAGGCGATAAGTCAGGGGGAAAGACCTCCACCTGAGACTCCAGGGAGCTGCTGCCAGCGTGAGTGGACAGTACCGACCTTGACGGACCAAGGGTCCGATTCAGTTCGAGGCAGCTTCTTGTGCTCAAGTCTGTGGCTCACAAGCCATTTCATCTGTCACCGCCCTCTCTTCCAGGCATCAAGCCGTTCAAGTGCTCTCTCTGCGAATACGCCACTCGAAGCAAGAGCAACCTGAAAGCTCACATGAACCGGCACAGCACCGAGAAAACCCACCTGTGTGACATGTGCGGGAAGAAGTTCAAATCGAAAGGCACCCTGAAGAGCCACAAACTCCTCCACACTGCAGATGGTGAGTCACTTGAGCCTGGGCACTAAATGCTTCCCAACACCAAAGAACCACACAGCTAGTGAGTTCGTGTGGCACTTGTTCAGATGTTGCTCACCACATGAGGAGGCTGCCCAGAACCATTACTGGTGGCAGTATGCCAAGGAGTGGAGTGCAATGGGTTGCGTCCTACTATTCTATCCAGCTTATGCACAGGATTCCCCCCAAAAGTGACTGTGAGTAGTCATGGTGCCTAATCGTTCTTCTCCAGGTACCCATGGAGCATTCCAGAAAGTGGGTGGGGCCTAGGGTTGCCAGGTCCCTCCTTACCAGGAGAAAGGGGAAGGAGTGACTGTGGGTAGTCATGGTGCCAAATGGTAGTCATGGTGCCGAGTAGTTAAGTGTGCGGACTCTAATCTGGGAGAACCGGGTTTGATTCCCCACTCCTCCACTTGCACCTGCTGGATGACCTTGGGCAAGCCGTAGTTCTGATAAGAGCTGTTCTTGAAAAAGAGCAGTTTCTGTCAGAGCTCTCTCAGCCCCACCTACCTCACAGGGTGTCTGTCGTGGGGAGGGGAAGGGAAAGGAGTTTGTAAGCCGCTCTGAGACTCCCTTGGGTAGTGAAGGGCGGGGGATAAATCCAATCTCCTCCTCCTCCTCCTCTTCTTCTCCAGGTACCCATGGAGCTTTTCAGAAAGTGGGTGGGGCCTAGGGTTGCCAGGTCCCTCCTGGCAACCGGCGGGGGATGGGGGGGACTTATCAGGAGAAAGGGGAAGGCCTAGCCCACGTCACGAGCATCACAGATGATGTGATGTCATCCCACTGCGACACTGGTATTTGGGCAAAAACACTATGGTAAAAATGGCCTCTACTATGAGTTCTTGCCCAAATAAATAAATAAACAGCAGGGCCCTTCCGTGTGATGCCACCTGTCTCTGAGACACCCTTCCCATGCAAACATTGAATGGTGCCTAGTATAACGTGTTTTAGGAGCCAGTTAAATGCTTGGGTATTTGCTTGACTGCTGGCATCCTCTGATTGATTTCAGCGTCTCCATTTTACTTATTCGCAGTTCATTGGCTGCCGCTTTGGCATTTACGTCTGCTCTATTTTACTGTGATGTGGGGTTTTCAGCTATTTGTTGCCAGCTGCCTTGGAGGCTCTGTATTTGGAATGGAGGAGAGAAAAATCTAAATCTTCTAAGTTAATTATTCTCTTGTGGTGCCTTCTGTTTGCAACTTCATTATCTCTCCCCTCCCCCTTTTCTTTCCTAAGTCAAGACTTCCAGATTTCCTTCCCACAAACTGTATGTGCTTTAAAAAGCTCGGGACATCTTTCCTACCTTGTTTTGGTACAGCTGTCTTTTTGGAAGAGCCCAAAGTTTCGGCAAGGCGAGCGAGAGGGGCCTGCCCGTGATTTCTGTGTTTCAGACATCATTCCTGCAAGACCAGCCCCCTGCTCTCCAGCTGTGCGTTCTGAATGCTTACCCAGAAAGGCAGGGCAGCAGAGAACCCAGCTGTTTGGAGTTTCTCGCCATTCGTAATCACCAGCGAACATTCCAGCCCCCTCCCCGGAGTTTCATTAGACAGCAGATATTTTAAACATCAAGGCTTTTTTTCTCAGCTATGTTTTATATAGATACTGTCACATTCTTTATAAGCCGTTCCGAATTTTCAAAAAGAACTTTGAGGAGCAGACGCCCCACTTTCTTGACAAGTTAGTGCAAAACCTGAAATCTTCCTTTCACAACTCGGGTTCCATTTTAAAGCTGTTTTTGACAGCTGTTGCTGAAAGGGTTTCAAATAGCATCTCTCCATCCTGATTATACAGTGGGAGCTGGTAATGGGAGTACAGAATCAGAGATCTCCGTGCAGTAGGGCTGCAGCCCAGCTCCCGGGGTCTTCTGGTCATTATAGCGTTTTTACCCAACAACAACAACTAGATTGTCGAAGGCTTTCATGGCCGGAGTTCATTAGTTGCTGTAGATTTTCCGGGACGTGTGGCCGTGGTCTTGGCATTGTAGAATCTGACGTTTCGCCAGTAGCTGTGACTGGCATCCTCAGAGGTATAAACACAGAAAGATGGAATACTCTCAGAATACTCTCTGAGTATTCCATCTTTTCATCTGGCTGTGCAGATCTCTAAAACCAGGGGTCATTTCGTAGAAAAAGAGCTAGGGGAACTCATTAGCATAACTCATTAGCATATGCCACACCCCCTGACATCAGGGGCCCGGCGGTGGACCTGCACGGCCAGTGGGAGTGTGAGGAAGCCCCGCGAAGGCCCTCCCTGGCCCCAGGCAGGCAGGGGTGGGGAGAGGCGGGGAGGAAGCAACTTACCCTCCCTCTTCTCCTGCCTCCTCCTGGCTGAATGAGGGCTGGAAGCGGGGCGGCCGGAAGCAGGGGGTGGGGCTTCGTCATGTGCCCCGCCCCCCTGCACCTCACCCGGGGGAAGTGCGTTCCCCCGCGTTCCCCCCCGAAAAGACCTCTGTCTAAAACCATTGCTTTGACAGCAGCTGCCGCTACTGCACAGGGCTCTTCACTGTGTCCGAAGGAGCCGTTTTGTCATAGTCATTTTGTGGCTGTGTCCACCATGCCGTGTCATAATTCCAAAGGTGCCCATAGGCTTCAAAAAGGTAGGGGGACCTTGGTGTAGCATAAAACAGGACCAAATAAATATATGATGGCAGCAAGAGTGTTTCATACAGGAGTGCATATAAAGGAATCGCACACAAGACTCACTGGCATGATGACCATAGAGTTGCCCAGCGTGGCAACCAGCAGGATCCCCGGGGGGGGGGGTGGAGACATGGGAGAGGAATCAGCAACACAGTGGTTTCACTTCTGGGAAAAGTCTGGAAGTGACAACACACCTCTCTAGGAATTCCCAGAAAC